AATATGACCACGTCGGTTATGAATTAAATTACTAGAAATACCAGGGTTATCATGATGGTAAAAGGCTTGAAATGATAATGGTCATAAGGCTTTATATGACAGAAATGATAATTCGATTATCAATGTGATTTTCTTATGGCTATGGCAAGCAAAAACAACAGGATTCACGCCGTGTGTTCATTATTACACTAAATAGTCGGTAGCCAGATGGGTGAAGGCGAATTGCAGTTGCAAGAGGTGCTCACAGCGGAGAGCATGGCCGTACTTGTCGTCCATTATGGAATCACCAAATCAGATAATATCATAATATCCGTGTGGTATATAGAGAAAATTTGCGACCTCCCAGGTTGATGGCTCCGAAGCAACGTTTGACGCATTGTTTGCTCAAGAGAATTTACGGATAAAACAAGTATCTTTCTTTGTCATGATTCGAACCTTGCATTTACTGGAATTTTAGAACTTTGCACCACAAAGCCACCACGATGACGATGACAATAAGCATAACAGTGCCAAAGCTGATTAACAGCAATTTCATCACAATTGTCATAACAGTCATGAGATTAACCTCGTGATTACGACAAACACAACGACGAAAAATATGACAAAATCTGTCACTATTTTGAATAGCAAGGGAGCTTTGGCACATAGCCTGGCAACGTAGTTGTCAGTTTCACTACGCTATTAAGGCATCAGACGTTAAAGATAGCCCGGTTCTTTTACTGGTCATGTGCCTGTCTTTTGAGAGACTAGCTGCCAAAAATTTTTTACCGTTGTCTTTTGTGCTTTACAGTTACTTATTCATTTCTTCAATTTACAATCACCATATCTATCTATGTCTCTATTATTTACACCGAAAAGCGGGATTCTTCAGCAACCATGTGAAAGAAGTGCACTTCTACCTTCACCTCATAGGATACTTACAACAGCCGATTACTAAATTCAGGACGTGTGTTGCTACGTCGTTCATAAGAGACAACTCATTCACAACATTCCTCTTAGCTTGTAATGTTTTTTTTTTTAAAGAGAAGACGGATAGACGGAATACATGCAACTATTTTAGACATACACGGGTCACATCTTTGAACAAGCATTTCAATGTAAAAACCTTACGGCATTTTTACTTCGGTCAGGCTGATATCTTGGAGCGGAGGTGCCCATCAGAGGGCTGAGGGCTGTTTAGCACGACAAACTAAAATCTACAAGATAGTCAGCATTTTAAAACAAGATTCTGAACTCAAGGAATTAAATTTTTACAAAGTTCTTAATAAGAAGAAGTCTTCTAAGAAACGTCTTCCGAGTATATGGCTGTAAATAAGAAATAAAACTGAGCCAAAATGGCATTTATAAACGGGTGCTTCAGAAGGCACCCACATTCTCCATCATTAGAATACACATAGGGAGAACAGGCAATATTACTGCGGCCGGAAACATCGACTTCTAAACCAGGTAAAGATGGAGAGCCTAACTCAGCGTACGGCACACTTAAAACTTTTAAACGCTCAGTTATGGCCCCACTTAATCTGAATCCTTAAGGATCCAGACAATTTCAGAATCCCGATCCAGTCGAACTTGAACCTGTCCGGAATCGTCTTGTTGCACATACCGTTTCTCCTACTTACTGTATCATTTGTTCCTTGCATCCCCTTCTGTAAATTTGCTAATGTTGGTTGTTCCTGCCTACTGTAGGAATATTCTAGACCTGAGCAAACTAGTGACTTTAGACAGACTTACCAAGCGCAAAAAAAATTTAAAAAAGTGAGATTCATTTTCCACAATTTTGTTTTAATACATTACGAAATAAACTAAAAAAAAATAAACAAATAACACGAGTGCTTTAAGTGTCTCCTAGATCTGACGAAGTAATTTGTGATTATTAATAAAGTTATGATGCACATGAATATCTAAGCAAGCAATAAGTCAATTCCAGTGGAGAGCCAGTAACTTACTTAACAAAACAACTCGCCATCTCGTTCTTTCTCTTGTTTGCTGTATCATGCGACACTAACCATACGCGACAGTTAGTTCATTGAGAAATCTGCTGATATATGCTCACATGGAAAACTAAAACACTTGGTAGCGGAGTCACGTGGAACACCGTCAACTGCTTCTTTTAACTAGGATATGCTAGGTAGTATTCACAAACATTCAAAAAAAAACGAAAGGCATTTGATCAAGGTCAGGATTAAGGCTGTTGAAAAGTTAACATGCAAATTTGAGTCTTGAGAAAAATATGGTTCACGGTAAAGTAAGGTTAGGTCTTAGGTTGGCGTGGATACCATGAGCAGCTCGATCATTTCGAGAATTAAGACCTTGGCATCAGCACCAAGACAACCAACTTCATCTTGTAGAAAACCAGCAATATAAAGCAAAATACTTTATCCGTAGAAATTAATCACCCAACAGACTGATTTTTTTTGCGTTACGCATAATTCAACGGTTTTTATGCAAGGAAAAAATCTATTTTACGGCACCCGGATTTGTCAACAATTGCATGATCAAAAATCAACTAAGCTTGGTCTACACACCGAACCACGATCTAAAAGCACGATACACCGCTGGAAACAGTCCGATTTTTCAGCGAATTCATTCAAAGCCTTTTCAGCTGCTGCTCGCTGTTCAGAGCTGGTAGGTTGGTAGATTTCTTTGCACACAGCCTCCAAATACTAAAAACAACTATGTATTTACGAAAACCAAAAATATCAATGTAGCAATTGACAAATCACCGTAAAATGCTTCTGCTCCACGATATGCTTACCTCCGTTTCGGCAGCAGCCATTGAAAAGCAGAACCTTTTTGGATCAACCGATAAAACACGATTTACTAGATGGTTTTGCGGTTAATGTACGGAGAGGAAACGCCGTAACGACCGGCAGCAAAGTACGGGCAAATAACACACGAACAGCGGCAAACTACCGTTCCAACCAGCTACGCAGACCTTTCCTAAAACTGAGAAGTTTGTCCGAGAGGAAACCGGAAAAAACAACTTACCACAATAAAATGTAGGGTAACAATGTGCATCAGACATGTAACACCTGATTTTTTGGCCCTCAATTAATTCAATGCCATCTTAGGAGTTTCACAGCTCGAAAAACCTTAAAACATGCCACAGAAACACCACATGTGATATCGGATCCAAACAACTGCACACAGTGAAGTACAGACTAGGAAACGGCAGGTACTTTCCGAAGGTCTTATTTCTCGCCAGCGGATACGTACAACACTGGACATATACGTACAACACTGGACATATATAGCATCAGGAAGGAAATCATTCAAAACCATGCTAAGAAATTGTACTGTTTAACACATTCTTCCGATTCACTGACTTGCAGCAATAAACGCACGCTTTGCGCTTATGTTCAATTTATTCTTTACAATATATGACGTTCCATTGGGCATTCTGGTTAGTGATGTGTTGAGGGTCTGTCTTTATGAATATCGTAGTTTCAGAGAGAGGCCAAGCGCGTTTCTGTAGTAAATTTTGCATTCGCCTTCGTGACTAGACTGTTTGAATATGATTCTGCGAAATTAGACACTCTGTGTGAACTTAAAATCTACTGATAAATCTATCATCAATGATGAAATTTGAAATGAATGGCATATTAGTGATTCTGCATTTTCACCACAGAGTAAAAGAAGTTAGTAAAAAATAGTAAAACTGTCAAAAATAGTCAACAATAGGTATTTCCGGCACTTTCAAAAAATGAATTAATAATCAACCTCGTTTTTTTAAGACAGCAGCGGCCGTTCTTCCTAATCTCATCATCAGATTTTTCTTTGTATTCCCCAATATTTGCATTCTGTTCATCAGTAAGAACAAAGAATTTCGTGGCGGGCATATTATTCAGATCAGCTCCTATTTAGAAATCTCTTCATATAGAACTTATGCAAACTTTCCACACGAATTAGTCGAGACATACAATAAGGTCAAAGCTTTTGTTGGCTACCTTTGCATCATGCAGCTGCAACTCTTCCGTTCGCAAACTTCTATTCAGTGATTTGGCAGGCTGGTTTGGCACTGGCAGAACACCAGATCATGCCTAGTTGTGGTTGGTAGAGTTCACATTTTATTAAAATAATTCCCATCCAAGAATTCCAGACCGCCAGTGTTTCGCTGACCAGAATTCAAATATATTCGGTATTTGTCTTCGCAAAAGCATTAACTAACTCTAACTTTTTCCGTAATATTAGGGGCATGTTTACATTTCGAACTGTGCGCTCCATCGGTCCGTGTCGTACTCATTTGAATTAATGCGACGTGTTATAGCTATGTCGAATTTTCTGCCTCCCCTGTTCAGAAGGAATAGCAACTCCATTTCTGAGTTGCATATTCGTTTCTTTTGTGTGAATCTTTGCCAGCTTCTGTAACGCTGTTATGCGCTCAGCTGCCGGAAGAAGTTAAGCAGGCTTTTATTGCCCATATCACACACTCTGGCTCATTTCCGCAACAGTTTGTGTAGCCGTTGTCAATCCAAGAACTATATACCCGGCATAACGTTCCATGGAGTCAGTATAAATGAACAAATAGCTGTCTTTCGAGATTAATTCATCTCGGTTTCAAACCTTACTCTTTTCCCAGTTCGGGTTTGAGAGTTATGAATTTCATGTTTCTTTCTATTACTACTGCATATCTTTCATTTTATTCTGGTCAAATCTTTGATTTATGCCGAAAAGCAGATCCCTATTTAATCATTCTGTAATAACGATTCTTACCTTGATATAGACTAATACACACTGATTACGTCATAGATGTAAACTTTTTAATTTTATTCGCGCATTTTACTTTCATAGCATAATATAACGAACAGATATTGAAAACACATTCCCACCGTGCCAAGCAAGCGTGTTCAATTTATTGCTTTTCCGGGCAACGAATATTACTTTTACTTCACTTCTGAGCTCTTCGCTGCACAATACGGGAATTTACTTTGAACCTTTTTGATGTACAACTGCATTCTGTTGAATTACTACCGTTAATTTATTTGAACCTGAAGACTATTACAAACGGTAACAGGATTCATTTTCGTTTTAGCGTGATATTTTTGGTAATGCGTTTGTTTGTAACTTCGTTTGGTTAGATGTTTTATTTTTTTAGTAGTCATGTTTCTATATATTGTTGCTATTGGATTTTTGGTAACCGCCGTTAAAAAGTATTTTTCATCCTGTGACGTTAAGGGTATTTCTTTACGTTTGCTTTGCAACAGATTAGATATCATAGTTCAGTTCCATAGTTTGTTTTAATTTTCGGTAAGAAAATAACGGTTTTGGCTTTTATAAAGAAGTTTACGATTTGCATTTAAGTCCGTAAAATCAGTACCATTAGTCAGTGTTGAAGAATGCATATAACGAAATTAAAGACTGACAAGCTTAGATATTGCAGTTTTCTTGTTTTCAGCATCAGAATCTTTGAGAATAATGCGAAAAGGGACCTAATGTGGATGGTGGATTTTGAAAAGGTAGCATTCCTAATGCCCTTTCGGTTTCTGGTAGTGGCATGGGTTGGTGAAATAGATATTTTGTGAATTCAGATTCAGTTGTCACACGCTGTATATTCAGATTACAAAATATGCTCATTTATTCGATAGCCAGGTATCTCGCGTTCAAAGCTTTTAGTGCCATCTCGACCTCCAGCGAGTAACTGTAGATGGCGCAATGTTACTATAGTATTAGTGACGTATAAGCAGTTTGGTCACAATGAGACTCTTATATCAGACCATGAAACACCATATACATTTACCGGAATATGTGCATATTTTTCTCCGGCCAAAAAAATGGCAGCAAGGCAATCACATTAACATTTTGCAGATTAAGTATTCTGTTCTTGTGTTGCTAATCACACTCAAATATCATGATAAATCTTAAAACTCCGGCGATTGATCGATGTCGAAGTTTCGTCTCTTGTCTTACTAGTATACTTCTAGCTTAAAGGGGTTTTGCACCATTCTGGGTCTTGTGCGGCTCAACGGTCTTACGTATTATATCTTTCTATTTCCTGGTCTTTGAAATCCCGACAATGGTATAATTACTGTATTTCGTGTCAGATACCTTTTTCAAGATCGTATACACTTGTTTACGAAAGGATTTTTAGTGTGACTGTAGATTCCATGTATACGATGCTGTCAGTATGGGCGTCTGGTTCTTAATCTTATAATTTCATCATACACATCCTTTTCGTTAAGGGATGCATGACCACAACAGAGTAGCTTACACCCATTTTTGAGGTCGGTAACCTTAGACCTGCGACGCGTGGTAAAGATTCCAAATATATGCATTTACAACTTGTTCTTTCTCCTTTCTAGTTATAGAGAAAGCATTTCAGTCATGAAGGCACAGCAGTGGCGTCCGTCTGTCATAACCACGTTGCTTCCAGTTTACTCATTTAGCGGAGGGTCTAGCAATTCATATTTAAGTTCTGCCCTCCCCCACCCAACATCTGGATTAGGTTGTAGCTAAAACCTTAAAGCTTTTTGTCTCAATAAACGATATTAACGAACTCTACTGCCTAAAGTGTCCTTGGTTTACTCGCCGGAATGGCGTGTTATGGTAATGTAAATATGCGAGAACCATGTTATCCGACCAGCGATATAGTCAGTATCGCTGCTTAATGTCAATTAGGTTTAAACTTTCAAATATACTTTTCTGCTAGATTCGTTCCGTGCATTTTTTGTGTAATATTTCCTGCTGGTTTAATTTCATATTT